TGCAACAAGTAGAAAGGAGGAATCGTCGTACCTTCTTACTTGTGCTGGCCTCACCAACATCAACATCCGCATCAGTCTCTGCCCTGATCAGCTTCTTGCGTAGAACTTCAGTAGAAAACTCATCCAGCACATCGTCCGCATCGTAAGCCAAATGCTGGAGCTCTTTCAGCCACCTATTGACAGCCTTGTCAGATATCTGCTTGTCCTCTGCATCAGCAAGAACATCGTTTATATCTTCTAATGACTTCTTCAGCTTCTTGATGGAAGTGCTGACACCCTCACGACGCGCCAAGTTGATAAAATCAGGGGACAACAACTTGTCAATCACAGATTGAAGCAATGGAGAGATAAAGATCCCCAACACATCCATGTCTACTCGTCTTTGTTGTGAAAGAGCCCAGAATTGAATGTATGAAACAAAGCAATATGAGAGAGAGAGAGAGAGAGAGAGAGAGAGAGAGAGAGAGTTGAGAGCAAATTTTTGGAACAAGTTTGGTAGGTAGGTAATTGAATGAAGAATATGATTTTGGATGGTCCTCCCTACCTAGCAAGCAGGGTATATGATTCTGGACAAACTTTTTGTATAAAGCAAGCAGGGTATATGCTTCCCTCCCTCCCTCCCTCTCTAGCAAGCAGGGTATATGCTTCTCTCTGTTCTCTACGTAAGCAGGGTATAATTTATTTATTTATTTATTTATTTATTTATTTTGTACAACTTTCTAATTAAAAAATGATGCCATGTAAATTAGAATGATGACCTCTGAGATTTATATACATATATATATATATATAATCAGTTTTACAAATTTGGTATAATTATATCATCCTTCTTTTTGGTAAAGCTAAAGTGCCGGAAACTTATACAAAAGAGAATAAGATAAAATACACATTTCAAAGTAAAATAAATTATAATATTATTTTTTCATTAAACGACTAACAAATTATTGATGAAAATAAGACAAATATTATGTGAACTTTAAAAGTATCAAACAAAATTATGTTAAACTTGTAAAACTCTATGTATATTTTCTAAATTATAAGACATGTTAGTGTAATTTACTCCCCCAAAAAAAAAATGAAACAAACAAATATGACTTAATATCTAGAGTTTCTTACCGAACTTCAATTTTTTTTTTTAAATAAAATTTTTAAATTCAAGTTGTAAACTTATATCCCAAGTTGTTTCATAATGTCCTTTTTTCTAAACTAATTTATTATAAAAAAAAAATGATATTTTTTTAAAATAGTACTTTAACTTTGAAGTCGTGTTTGAAAATACCTTACAAATATTTTAAATTTCAAAAAAAAATGGGCTCCGTATAGGTAGGTCAAAATAAAAATAAATATAAAGAGAAGAAAAGAGTGGAGTTATTTTTTAATCTAGTTGCAAACTTTAATACTTATAGTTAGTTCAATCGAATAAAAACAAGGGTTGAGCTTCCCTTCAATCCGTGATCAGACTAAAGGATATTGTTAGGCTCGTGAGGGCACACCACGAGTCCCGTTTCAATAATCTGAACCATTCAATGCGTAGAATTCGTCAAGCAATATATGCCTATAAAAAATCACATTGATCGGATATCAATAGCTATCTCATCAGATCAGATTTTTGTCAACCATTTATTTTTTCACCATCCATTTTTTTTAATACAAAACGGATTTGATCACATAGCTATCGATATCCGATCAACGTGATTTTGTATAGTCATATAGTACTTGACGAGTTCTACACATTAACGGTTCAGATTATCGAAACAGGATCCGTGGTGGGCCCTCACGAGCCCAACAATACCCTCCAATCTGATCACGGGCCGGAGGAAAGCTAGACCCTAAAAAAAAATGAAATGGAATGTGACCATTTGAATGATAATTCAATTTTCAAACTCCCTAAGATTATTTTAGGAGTTGGTTTCTCGTTGCTTAAAGAATAAAGTGTGAAGTGTTTAAAAAATAGTAAATTCAAAAGACAAAAAGAAAAAGAGCATATAATATTATTAATAATGTGGTAGAGCATCTTGTCCTCTTTCTTTTTTTCTTATTTAAGCTTATAATATTCTTCGTTGCTTTTCAAAAAAAAAAAAAAAAAAAAAATATATTTCTCACTACCTCTCTCACAAGCTATAGAATTCACAAATATATGGGTTTCATCGCCTTGTAAGACACGGTAAGAAATACACAGGCATCAATGATGGATCTAGAAGCGATTGCCCCTTACGAATTCAATCACTCATATATTAGTATTAGTTATTAATTATTTTTAAATTATATGAATTCACCCTCTCTAAGTTTTAAGAAAAATTAGTCAGTTGCACAATCCAAGCATTCTATATCTATGAAACATAACGTTCAAAGTATAAAAATCAATAGTTTGGGCAAAAGATAACATCTTTTAAAAAAAAAAAAAAAAAAAAATAGTTTTGTTTCCCACAACTAGTATAAAAAAATCTTAAAATTGCCATCTTTTGTAATTCAACAAAGCCCAACAATACCCTCCAATCTGATCACGGGTAAAGAGAAGCTTTTTCCATTTACTTTTTGCAAAAGAAAATTGTTTTTAAAATGTTCTTTGATTTTTTATTATTATTTATTTTATTTTATTTTGGAGAAAGAATTTCTTGTTTTTCAATTGTTTCATTTCTATTCTTCTTCATTTTA